CTTGTGTTTCTCTCAGACGCCACGAGGATCACATAGATTTTTCGGCAACCTTGAATCCTCCGACGTCAGCCCGAAGGTCCAGCTGTCCTTCGCCGGAGCCAGGGTTGCTCGGGACACCGTTCGAGTAGCCCAAGGTCCCCGAGAATCCACCGCGGTCGGAGCGAGGAAAGGTGTTCTCCGTGACAGTTATTGGCCAGCGCTGAGGCCCTGTGCTGTGCGGCCGCTGACAATGAATTCTGCGAAATACAGCGGACAGACTTCGACGCAGGCAGAGAGAACGAAAGAGAAAATTACTTAGAAATATGTGGGTCAACTTAATGTGTACTTGAAGTGTGTACTTAGTGATGGCAGCAGTGGGGAAATATTATCTAACTTGACAAAACTACCAAAGGAAACAGTGAGTAACTGTTATTACTACAGTCATAGTTTGTAACGGTATCAACATTACTTATCAGGACTTCCGTATCAGATGAAAAGATATTCAGAAAGACATATCAGAACAAATAGCAAACATTTGGGCTACTTTTACGTCCGGAAGCCAGTGGTCGCCAAGCCAATGGTCATAAAGCCAGTGATATAAATAAATAAAAAAGTAGAAGAGGAAAACAAGAATAATTGACTTGCCTGCAGTACCGTTACCTGCTTCCTGAGCTCTCGCATCCTTTCACCCACAGGATACTCGAGGCAGTTAGAAGAGAGGGCGATTATCGGATGATATATTACCCGACTTTACTGTTAATCTTGTGACTGTGACCGTGGTTATTAGCAGTAGCGTTATCGTCATCATTTGGAATATGGTCAACTTTATAATCCTTGACGCCATCGTCATCGCTATCATCATCGTCATGGTTATTTTCATTGTTATGGTTATCACCATCGGTGTAGTCATCTACAGCAGCATCATTCTCATCATTATCATTTTTATCATGGTGAACTTTATAATTACTGATATTATTGTCACTATCATATTATTTTTCTTATTATCATCACTACTGCAATCGCAATCATCATTACCATCACCATCATCATTATTGTCATTATTGATATTGTCATATCATCATTTTCATTATCACTATCATTATTATTATTACCATTATTGTAATCATCATCATTATCCTCAGTACCATTTTACTATCATTTTGAACATTACCATCATTATCATTCATTATCATTATCATCATCATTGTTATTGTTGCTGTTACCATCGTCATCTCACTACCATTGTTATCATTACGATGATCATATCTTATTACATTCTCAAGCACCATACGTATCATCATGATTATCATTTTTATAATTATCATTATTAATATTTAGTACTTAAATTTCCTATGATCATCATTACTACTACTACTGCTAATACTAATACTAATACTAATACTACAGCTACTAATACTACTAATACTATTACTTGTATTGCTGTTGCTCTTCTTCTTATTATAAACTTTACTATGATTATTATCCTCAACATATTGATCAAGATCATCATCATCATCGTGATTACTATCAATATCAATGTTGTTGTTATTATTATTATTATTATTATTATTATTATTATCATCATCATCATTATTGTCATGTGTTCACTACTTAAAGTAAAACCGACGAGTTTGATCTGCCACTATACTTAAAAACAATTACATTTTTATGCTTTATTTAACAGATGTAAAGGGAATGAACGAATGCCGATAATGCTCTACATAGGATTGAATCCCTTGCTACAGAAGGCGGATATCCTCGGAAACCGGATACCACATTTCGCTCCCGATGCTCACTTCTCTGCCAACTCGGCCGCTACCATGAATTAATATTCTTGGCATGCGTCTCATAATGTCAAAGTCAAAGTCACACCGAGTCTTCAGACGTGTTGAAAACCACATGTTTGCCTGACAGTTTTAACATTCATATTATTACAGTTAGGACAAGGATTCTGACAGGAAATTCGCTGGATAACGAAGTTCAGTGCAAAAGACAACGGACGGAAGGACAACATGTCTTACAAGAAAATTAAGGTTGACGTGAGGGTTCTCGCCTCTAGAAATCAAGTTCTCTTTGTTTTGTTCACGTCGCCTGTTGTCTATCAAGAACTCGACCCCAAACGTGATCCGATACGACGCAGTAAGATTTGTCGAGCTTTGTGACTGTGACAACGGAACTGTCGACCGTGGCAGCAAGGTCGGGGCGGTGGGGTTCTTCATGCAGACGATGATGACGAAGGAGTTCTCTTACTCTCTCTCTCTCTACCTCTATTTTTTTTCTTCTTTTGCGAAGGTCGCCCGCCTCCTGGGTTAGGTGGCTTCTTGCAGTGCCCCGAGCGTGTGGGTTTTGTATGCGCGTTTGGAGATTTCTGTGTGGGTGCGGATGTGCTGGTTTGGCAGGTTGGTTGTAGGTTTGTGGATATTTGGTTGTGTCCGTTCGTTCGTTTATGTTTAGTTGTGTGTGCGGATTTGTTTGCTTGTGCGAGCGTGTGCGTGTGTAGGCCAGTGGATAGTGTATGTGCGTGAGACAGAGAGAGAGAGAGAGAGAGAGAGAGAGAGAGAGAGAGAGAGAGAGAGAGAGAGAGAGAGAGAGAGAGAGAGAGAGAGAGAGCAGCCAAAAAGAGCGATGGAATAGGAAATTGAGACAAAAATTAAAAAAATAGAGATGGAGATGAAGCCGTTTTGGACGCTTGAGGTCAGTCGATCCTTGGCAATGTTAGAGGGGAGGTGTAGGCAAGCAGGTAGGTTCCGAAGCAACCTTGGGGACCAAATCTTGCAATCCCAAGTTCTTGCCGACGAGGCAGAAAAAGATAAGCAAAAAGTGGATAGATCCTGTGTTCTTATATAATACAGAACATAATATCCGTTTGCAATCCATTTCTTAATCTGTCATAGGTTAATTTATAATCATACCCGTACCATAAATTTACGTTGGCCGATGAGGTGAGTTACTGAGCAAAGTGGTCGAACAAAATGGTTTGTTTTTACATACATACATCACGGTATGTTATTCCCACCCCTTAAAACAAAAAATACATGTGTTTTATAAACTGTCAATTACATCGCCTATTTGAATATAATGATATAAAAATCGAATATAAATTTCAGATATGCCATAGATTTGATTACAAACCCATGTTCACATTCAGCAGTGTAGAGACAAACCATATATCGACCGCACACGAGTAGGCAACAGGTAGCGAACATGTGCCCCTTTGGACTGGAGCTGCTGTGGGAAAACAGCCGTTAGTTAAACTACAGCACAAAGGAGGGGAATGGGAGTGGGCGGGGATGAATTGAGGAACATTAATGGTGTTTAACGTCACTGTACAGATAAACACCAAGTACTATTTGGGTATTCGGGTCTGAATTCGGAAAAAAAAATCACGTTTTTCTTTTCCGTGACTATACATGCTTGTGGTGGTGATAGAAAGAGAGAGAGAGAGAGAGAGAGAGAGAGAGAGAGAGAGAGAGAGAGAGAGAGAGAGAGAGAGAGAGAGAGAGAGAGAGAGAGAGTTCAAAGACAAATGCAAAAGGTGTTTAACGTCACTGTACAGATAAACACCAAGTACTATTTGGGTGTTCGGGTCTGAATTCGGAAAAAAATCACGTTTTTCTTTTCCGTGACTATACATGCTTGTGATGGTGATAGAAAGAGAGAGAGAGAGAGAGAGAGAGAGAGAGAGAGAGAGAGAGAGAGAGAGAGAGAGAGAGAGAGAGAGAGAGAGAGAGAGAGAGAGAGAGAGAGAGAGAGAGAGATAGAGAGAGAGAGAGAGAGAGAGAGAGCGAGAGAGCGAGAGAGAGAGAGAGAGAGAGAGAGAGAGAGAGAGAGAGAGAGAGAGAGAGAGAGAGAGAGAGAGAGAGTTCAAAGACAAATTCAAAACACTGTATTCCATGTTTTTCCTCTTTGCAAAGATAATTGCAGGGTACAGTAATAGAGGATGAGTAGAAACAGCATTAGAAACAGTAAATGAGTAGAAGAGGCATAAAATAAGAAACTGAGGTACATTGTTTGGTTTTACAATGAAATGCCTGATGCCACTGGTCATGTAAAAGATGCTCCTTTCATTTCACTTTGAAAGTATTCAGATGTTTTATATATTTTTTATATAGTTCGAAGCGCCTTGCTTAGACACCACCGCCAGCACTGCTGCTCATGCGCGTTAAAGGAGAAGGAGGAAGGGGAAAGAAGGAGGATAGATCTATCTATCTATCTCTCTATCTATGAGGTGATGACTCTCTTCCCCGGGCGCTACTCCGTCACTTAAGACCGCTGTTGTGCTTTCACGTAATGTCTTCAGGTTTGTTTTCCTTTGATGGGATTAGGGTTAAGTATTTTGTAGTATTTAAATATATAGGATTGGTGATGGTTTCGATGTTTATGTTTTCTTTAGAAATATATTCCTTAAATAAATAAGCAATTACGTTTTTTCTTTTTTTTTTCTTTTACTTTAATCTTTCTTTAGAATATAGGAGACTGAATTTATTGAAGAAAGCGAAAGGTGCAGTTGAATTAAGTTCCTAGGAACATTGACATAGGGAATTAAAAATACATTATATTACATTAAAACAATATATATCAAGTGACTGTATAAGATGCTTTATTTACTGTCTAAATATCTAAAATCTCACTGAAAACGTCATCTAAAAAAAAACATAATAAGGAAAAATGGAAACATACGATGATTATGCATTCTGAACAAACTTTGTTCCACTTCCTCCTCCTCTTCCTTGCCCCTTCCTCCTCCCCCTCTTTCTCCTTCTCCTTCCCCTTTCCCCTTCCTCCCCATCCTCCACCTCCTCCTCCTTCTCCTTTCCCCTTCCTCCTCCTCACTTTCCTCCTTTCCCCTTCCTCCTCCTTCCTCCTCTCCTCCTTCTCATTTCCCCCCTCCTCCTCCTCCTTTCCCCTTCCTCCATCTCCTTTCCCCTTCCTCCTCCTTTCCCTTCTTCCTCCTCACTTTCCTCCTTTCCCCTTCCTTCTCCTCCTCTTTTCACCCTCCTCCTTCACTTTTCCCCCTCCTC